AATGTTAAAAAGGGGGTACGGGGCTGTAAGAAATCTACGTTGTAAAAGCGGTGCAAGATTTCCTCCATCCACAGTAGCATTCAGAACTTCCCATCTGGAATCGGCCCAGTCATGACCCTAAACCCTATACCCTATATCCTAAACCCTAAACCCTAAACCCTAAACCCTAAACCCTGAACCCTAAACCCCCATACCCTAAACTCTACGACTGCAATCGTGAGTCCTTCAGGTGCTCCTTCAGTTCGCGCTGGATCTTTTGGTTGGTGGTCTCCTACACAGGGACGGCTCATAGTTTGTAAGGCGGTTTAGGGTTTAGGGTATATACGGGTTGTGTGGGAATATTGATTATCCCTCAACAATCAAGAAGCACATGGAAAAGAAGATGGAATAGAACACACAGAATGAAATGGCAACTGTAATTGTATGGTTGCTTATAGGGTTTGGGGCTTCCATAAATTAGAGATCCCTATAGTAAGGATTATGATATATTGGGGTCTATTGAGGTCCCTTAATCCTCGGAAACTACCACGTAGACACACTGCAAGCGACCTATCACTGAAGGGTCTCCAGGGATCCACGCACAACCCACAGGGGATTCTGAATGTAGTATAGGGCCTATATTAGAAACCAAATAAGGGCTGTTCCAAGAAGGTAGTATAGGGTCCGTATTACTTTCCTGTGAGTGGCAGTACAAGGTAGTTTCCCTAAACAAGGGGACCCCTGTACTAAAATCCCTATTGTGGGGACCCCCCCCAAAACAATTAATATTGGGAAACCTTAAACCCTAAACAGTAGCTACCATTTTCTTTCCATTGTCCCTAAATATCCCCTATATACCCCTGCATAACCCCAGGAAACATTGATTGCTGGAAAGGTGTTAGCCAGTGCTGACTCCGCTCCTCCAAGACGCGCCTCAGAGTTGTGGATCCATCCAACCGCACGAAGGGAATCCACCCATCCACCAGGTCTTCACCGTCCTTTCACGAGGAAGCGATTTGGATTTAGGATCTTTTTCCTCGGACCTTTTCTCCATGGCACGATTTAGGCTTTAGGGTTTGAGGTCTAGGGCTGCAAGATTCCAACGCATACCTGCCTTTCTTTCAAAATTCTTGGTCAATTACTCCAGCGCTCAGCTCTAGGTAATATATGGATCATACTCCCCTGGGTTCTGAAGGGATGTAGTGGGATATAGCATGGTGTAGGCATAGAACAAGAATCAAACGCCAAAACGGAATGGATGGACATGAAATGGAAACCAGGAGGACACCGCGATGTGGCGCTTTGGTGGCTCTGGGTAGGGCTAAAGCGAATTACGAAGCACTCGTGTTGTCTATACTCGTAGTTACTGTATCAGGGACAAGCCTGGTCAGCATGTGGGTCTTCCCCTACCCCGACATCAGCCCAGCAGACCATAAACCCTAAACCTGCACCCTGAACCCTGCCTAAACCCCAAACCCCAAACTCTAAAACCCAAACCCGACAACCCCAACCCGAAACTGCTGGTCCTCGTGGATCCAACCAACTAGCGCTCTGGTACCCTCGATCAGGTTGAGCCCGATCGAAGTGCCGGTCTTCCTGGGGATTCCCTGCTTTTGGGCTTAATAGGGTTTACGTAGGGTTCGGGGTCTAGGGCTTAATAAGGTTTAGGAACGTTCAAAGTTCAATCGGGTTTAGGGTTTGGGGTCTAGGGCTTAAAAAAGTTTAGGAATGTTTAAAGTCCAAGAGGGTTTAGGGTTTGGGGTTTAGGGTCGAATGAGGTCTAGGGATGTTTAGTGTTTAATGGGGTTCATGGTTTGGGGGTAGGGTTTGGGGTTTAGGACGTTTGCAGCCCCCACTGTATCAACAGTACAGTTTGATTTGAAGGTTTCCAACCATCAGGGTTTGCCCTACAGACCCCGAAACACCATAATCAACAATGAGCCCCTAAAGGAGGTTTCCACCTAAACCCTAAACCCTAATTTCTGACAAGCTGCAGCCAGCCTAGTGGTTCACTTCGAGGATCGCGTCCCTGAGCAGATAGTAGCAAGATGTGGAGCTTTGCAGGAGTTAGGTGTCCCAAATAATTTGGGGCCCTACAAGGGGTTTAGGGTTTAGGGTTACAAATGTGTAGACTACTTTGGGTATACAAAGGACCCCTGTGTTTGGAATGATCCTTCAAGAAGGTGTGTACGCCTCTCTGCATTCACTAAATAGTCAGCCTCCGTGACGAGGAGAGCGTCGCCCTCCTGCCGTACACGAGCACTCGCCAACTAGCCTTGCAATTGTAGGATCCCCCTTAATAGGGGTATACAATATGTGTTATATAAGGACTATATTGGGTCATATAGGGGAAATAAAGGAACATATTATGTAGGGGTGATATGAGCTGTAGTGTAAACTCCTGGTATCTTCACCTGATAACCCCTATAATCGTCCCCTATACTTTTAATCCCCTCTATAAACTCCCTGGCCGCTTCAGCATCTCCCCTGCTCCTCTGGGCCCTCGGTTCCAGGTAGCGGCTCGAGAACAACCCTCAGCTAGCGAGAGCATGGAGAAGCGGTGGCACAATTGGGACCCTGCATCGCGTTTGCACGTGCCCTGTACACAAGTCTGTTGCATGTCCAAGAAGCCAGATGGGCGTAACTACGGCATTCATCCCAGCCACATCGTCTGTTCGCATTCGGGCAGGTAGTCGCTGCAAGTAGCGGCTGCCGTCCTGCGGTGGCCACCGGTACTTGCCAAAGCCCAGCTTTGCCACGGAGTCGGCATCCGAGAGGAGGATCTCCACGATCCCTGCAGAAGGGCAAGGCCCTGACACTCCTACGTGGAAGCCCTGGACTCCATCTTCCCGAACACTTAAATAATTCCAAATCATCATAATTGTAGTCTTAGTATTACTAAGTTTGGGTGACGTGCCAGAACCACACGAAAGGTACTCGGGCTAGCAAGGAATGAAGAAATGGAAAAGAAATTGGAAGCTAGCATAGTATTGTTGATCAAAAGGACTACTATAAAGATACATTCATTCATGCGGTACTAACAGTCTATACTAGGGGTAATATCAAGGGTATGTCTACTTATAATATGAACATTTTCCAGCTGTCGCTGAGTGGGGGGCAGTATCCAATTCATTCATTCATTCATTCATTCATTCATTCATTCCCTGCTAACCTTAATGGTTCTTTGTATGGAATAAGGAAATATAATCACTAAACATATAATATATTCCCTTATTCCCTACAAAACCCAAATCCAAAACCCTAAATAGTAGTTTCCATCTCATTTTCATCATCCCTATATAACACTATATTATACCCCTATATTCCCTTAT